TGATCCCAAGTCTATATATATATATATATATATATATATATATAGAGAGAGAGAGAGAGAGAGAGAGAGGAGCGATCAAATGAAAACCGCTCTCATTTGTGTAAACCATGTAAACCAATCTCATTCATCCATTTTCTTGATCAATGGTCAAGATTAGTTTAAGTTATATTAGGAAATTAAAAAAAGTTATTTTATAATCCCTATAAGGGCATAATGGTAATTTTGGTAGTGGTTTTATTTATGACAACCTATCATGTATATCGTAATATTAATGAAACAAAATCATTTGTAAAATAATATATTAATTTTATGTTCAAATATTATAAATAAAATTACATTCATCATTGAAATAGATCAACAATAAAAATAAAACATTATAATCAATTTAACATAATGAAACCTTTTGAATAATAAAAAAATTACTACTACATTTAATGAACGAAATGGTTTCACAGTTTCATCAATACACAAATCAACGTAATGCTATATTAGACATTTTTCATTTTCATGTTATTGGTAGATGGATCCGTTTCATTTTGATAATGAAATTGTTTCATTGTTCACTAATTACACAAAAAAAATTTAAAAACTATGAAATGGTTTCACTTTCTTCAATCACCCATTTCATCTGCCAACATGGTTTGATAAGTCATTTGTCATTTCACGCTATTGATAATGAAATTGTTTCACTTTTCACTAATTACACATGTTTTTCTTATCTTTTTTTGAAATGGTTTCACTTCATTCACGCACTCATATCATCATGCACCCATTTCATGACGTACTCATTTCATGTTGCACTCATTTCATCATGCACCTATTTTCTCATGCACCTATTTTCTCATGCACCCATTTCATAATCATTTTCACTTACTTCATGTACCAATTTCACCATGTATGAAACCGGTTTCATGAATTTTTTTTATTCTATTACTGATTTCATGGATTTATTAATATAATAACTTACGATTTTCATGAATCTTGACAATAATAAACCGAGACACAATATAAGAAAATCCAATTTTTGATATTATAATTTAATTAAATATTTAAATTTTACCATTCATAAAATTTCCTTAATTATGTTACCTTAATTAAGATTTATTAACAACTTTCATATTTAATAGAAAACAATGCAAATGACCAATATACCCTTATTGATTAAATTTAAATAGAAAAAAATGGAATTTTTTTTTTGGTCGAAATTAGTTTACACGATTTCTAAAAAATTGCACGGTTTTCATTTGAATGTGCCTCTCTCTCTCTCTCTCTCTCTCTCTCTATATATATATATATATATATACACACACAAACCAAACTGAAGTTGACAGGTCATCGGCATTACCTTACATTGTTTGGTTTGAACAAGAAATATAGAGCAAGATGTTGATGGTTTGTTTGCAGTAACAAATCAAACCAAACCAAACCAAAATAAAATGTACTTATAACCATCCAAATTAATATCATTATGAACATTTAACTGAAACATCCACAATATGTCCCCGCTCACTTTCTTTGACAACTTTGGTGCATTTTGGTACCAATCATACTTTCATTCTATCAATTCTTATCATTGAAAAAACATCCAAAAACTTATCACGAGTCACAACTTCAATTATCACTCAATCTCGTAAAAGGGTCATTTGCAATAAAATGAAAAACTTCAATAATCGCGGGTCAGATTTCTCCCACCATGGCCTCTACTAATGTAACCATATCCCCTTCCATGATAGCCGCCGCCTTGAAAACGGCTTATGCGGTAGGACCCACAGCCAGCCCTACCCCCTTGATATCTCGAGAATTCTCCAAATGTCTGCACCAACAAACACGTGAGCATAGCAATAAAATAAAGAAGACGCTATATCATTGATAGTACTATTGAACTTCTGAAAATCAACCCAATTTTCTTTAATATTATTGATTATTAGGGGAGTTGCGAAATGATGTTCTGAAAAGAATGGGATCCACCAAAGGGTCATTGGTTTAATATTATCCGGGCTAGCGGTAAATCCTACCCTCTCCAAAGGTCAAGGGTTCAAACCTCACGGAAGGTGAGGAGTGTACGTGAGTATTTGCAGCATATAAATATTATATACTTCATTGGATCAAATCAATTTTCAAGTTAGACCAGGAAGACATGAAGCATATTTAGAGATAGAAGCATCACCTTGACATCAAATTTTGGTAAAGCAGCATCATTGTCATCTTCTGATTCATCCTCATCACTGGCGTTACCATCTCTCTCCTTTGAACTGGATTTGTTGGTTTTTCTAAGGTACCTCATACTTCATCCTTGTTGAATGTCTTATTCATTGCAGTAAAATCAAAATTTTCGGTGAATTTGAGCCGTGAATTTGAACCCTGAATTTTGAGGACATCCATAACCGAGTTAAAGCATGCATCCAAATACATGAGTGCAATATACCATTTCTTATACCAAAACCCCCAATCCAATAAAAGGCTATAACAATATAATGAGAGCAACTCCTTAGGAAGCTCTTCATTGTAGCTTCAAGCACTGAAGCACAAACTCACATTACGATCCTCTGGGATCAACTTACGTCCATTAGTTCTCTACAGATTTAGGGGCCATTGTTAAAACTGAAGAGAGAGTCATCATAGTCCATCTGTCCATTTTAGTTTGTTCTTACCCTACACCTTCAATAATCATCACTCTTCTGGCCCACTTAACGAAGTTATGTTATGTACTTTGATTCAAAATGTCTGTGTAATTACCAGATTTTCCAGTTATCACAGAAATAGGCATAAATATGTCACTGATTAGTAACAAATTCATGGCATCACAGCGAGTCTTGGCTATAGCCAACCACCATGACGACACCACGTCCGCTATGTCATTCGTGTGGCAACAAGTTGGCTAATTTGTAGAATTGGGTCCACAATATACTAATCTAGTAGTAGCTTTATCATCCATGGAGTGTTGACCGTCTTCATGACCTCACCAACCATACTTGACACAAATTGTTTACTTACCCGGTAAGCACTTACCGATAAAATTCAACACAATTGTTTACTTACCGGGTAAGATTTTATCCAATAAAACGCATCATATGCAACAATTTATCCCGGTAAGCGTTAACCATGGTAAGAGTCTTCGTCCTCACTTACCGGGTAAGACTCTCGATTCTTGTCTTCGCTCTTACCGGGTAAGATTTTTAGTCCTTCCCATATTCATCCAGTAAAGTAAAGTGACATGGTAAGCGTTTGGTAAACGACACCTAAATCCTTGTTTCCAATGAGTTTTAGAGAATTCCAGAGATCACCTATAGTCCATAGCTCCATGCTTTCAAAATTACTTTATTATAACATCATCAATTTCTAATACAACGTTGTATTTTTATTTTTGATATTTTTATCATTTAAACATTGTAAATTTAATCAAATATGTTTATTAAAAATTATAATAAAAATTATTTGAGATTATAATGTCGTTTTTTTATTTTGTTTTTTGACATATTATAGAAGGCAAAAGACATCCAAATCGATAACTTTTTTTAGCATTAACATATCTGCAATAATATATCAAACACTATATGAATTTTTTTTACCATTATGTAAGTTTTTTGTTAAATTAAATATTATATTTTTTAAATAAAAAAACACTCTCTCTTGAAACTCTGCAAACAACTCAAAATAGCTAACACATACAAGCATCACAAATACAATTTAATATTATAATTTTTCGTAAATATATTCGATTAAATTTACAATGGTTAAATAATAAAAATATTAAAATTAAAAGTACAATGCTGTAATAGAAATTAGTGATATTATAATAAAGTAATATTGAAAATACAATACTATAATAAGAAATGTCATGTCAACACTATTGTATATGTGAACAGCCTACATGGACGATGAGGTGACAGAGAACATTAATATAATGTGTAAATTTAATTTAAAAGGTTATTCAATACTATAACGGATAAATTTTTGAAAATACGATGTCCTAGTAAAAAATATTTTAAAATTTTATTGTAATAAAAAATACTAAAAGTAAAATATTATAATAAAGAAATTTAAAAAAATAAGTTGCTATTTCGCCATAAAATTCAAAGAACAATTTTGTATTTGTCACTAAATTTTGGGCCCAAATCACTTCTATTTTTTCTTACTTTTGATTTCGTTTTGGTCCAACCCACCAAGGGCAAAACTGTCAAAACCACCGATGATCGATTGTAGAAACAAAAATCAGTTCATAAGCACACGGTTGAATCTTTTTCCTCCCTCACAGCCCTGCTTCCAGAGCGGCCTGCTTTCTGATTCACTTTGCTCTCTCAATCATCAAAAAGGCTTTAAATCGTTATTCTTTACATGATTCTTGTGTAATCTTTTCATACTTGCTTATTTCAATTACAAAATCACATTCTAAAATCTCAAATCCCTAAATTCTAGGGTTTTGGAACCCTTATTTCAGGGTTTCAAATATCTGAGAAATATCGGGTCTTTTTATCTTTAATTCTTTGTATCTAGGGTGGTGTGTTGTTTGTACAAATGTTTACAACGCAGCAGAGAGTAACACGTTCTCCATTACCGATAACACCAAGGACCGATGGGCGAAAGACTGACAACACTACCAGACACGTATCTGGGAAGGGCAAGGCAGTGGCGTTTATCGATGGTCCGTCCCCTCCGCCGCCGCCGCCACTGGGGTTGTTGAACGAGAATCGAGCGAGTGCGGTGGTGGAGAGTGGGGATTTGGACGATTGGAGGCGGTTTAAGGAAGCGGGGTTGTTGGATGAGGCTACTATGGAGAGGAAAGACCGTGAGGCATTGGTTGAGAAGACTGCTAGGCTTGAAAAAGAGGTATTTATGCAAATTTTGTTGTCTTTTTTGTGACTGAACTCTATTTACACGAAACCCTTGATAGAATGTTTTGTCATTGATTTTTTAATCTTATGTTAACCAAATATAATCATGAATTCCCAGTTTCGAAATTGCAAAATCCTCATCTTCAGGATTTCCATTTCCCCTCCAGAAGGCTACACATTGTTTTCTGACGTCAAACCCATCACTACGCAAGAAAACTAATTTTAGTTTTAGGTTTATTGAATTCGAAGTACTTCTTATGCCTCCATCAAAAGTCCAGTTCACAATTTTTACTCGAGGAGTTCTGGTTTTAATATATTTTGTTCAATACTCCAAAAAAGGGTCTTTAAATGATTTTAAGTTGTAAGATGGATTTTTTTAGGTATGGAGAGCATAAGATAATTTAGTTATCAAAGTATTGATGAAAAATTTCAGATTCAAGAACAATTGTGGAAGTTAGCATGCTATTAATTTAAGTTGAACATGCAACACTTTCCTGATGAAGAGTCTTGAATCCTATGTCGGATGTCAGTTTGTGTAGTAGCATATGTTCAACAATCTAAACGACAATATGAGACGCCTTATATTTAAAATCCATACACATTATCTGATTTTTGCACTCAGAGCTTCTATAAGTGTACTCCGTCTGAGAACTGATGTGTACGCTTATTGCATATTGAATTACATTTTTTAGGTGAAAGGTATATTGTGCTTGAGACCTAGAGTAAGGCTAAATAGAATATTTTGGTTTAATTTTTGTTTGTTGAATCATTCCTTAAACAAGTGCAGTAGTGAAAATGAATTTGGATGTCTATTGTTCATTTCTTTGTTGGATAATATTTATCCTTTCCATCCCACAAAAAACATTGCAACATTTCCCTTTTTATTGATGTAAGACAAGAATAATGATTCTTCCTTTTTATCTGGAAAAAATTCAGGTTAAAATAACAATCACCCCCATATTATATACTGACACAATCTGTTCTCTTAATATGCAATGAATTTTACGCCTTTGGGCTTTCGCTAATAGTTAACAACAGTTCAAGTGTGTGCAAGTGTAACGTCAAATATTGCAATCATTGTGGGATGGAATGGAGGTAATAGTTGATGTGAGTATAGAACTATGTTAAGATGATTGCTCCAGTGGTTCTGCAAGCAACTACATTTGACTTCTCATATCTAACCCAATGCCTTGCAAATGCAGACTTGATGTCAATTTTATTACAATGTACTACTACTATAATTGCATTTGTCATAGTATATTGTTTAATGTACTTGGCAACCGTTTCTTCCAACTTTTGGAATCCAAATCAATTATGATATAATTATTGTCGAGGTTCTTTCACATCTTGTTGAAAATTACAAATACTTAACTTTCCATATTACAGCAGAATCTGGTGGTTTCATTTTCCTTTTGTCGGAACTTTTACTTCTACCCGTGTGTTGCATATATTGAAATGTCGTGTATAATCGTATTTGTTGTTTTCTTTGTATAGCTATTTGATTACCAGTATAATATGGGGCTTTTACTGATTGAGAATAAGGAGTTGACTGCAAACAACGAGGAACTTAGAGAAGCATTGGCAGAGATACAAGAAGTTGTTAAACGCGAGGAGGCTGCTCATTTGATGGCTGTGTCTGAAGTTGAAAGGCGAGCAGATAACTTGAAAAAAGCTTTAGATTTTGAGAAGCGTTGCCGGGCTGATGTAAGAATAATTCTCTCTTTAACTAATAGAAGCATTTTGATGTGTTAATACTTATTTCTGTAGCTTTATATAATTATTTAAATTGTCATGTGTTCTGTATGAAGCATTATGTCATGACATCCATTTGTATACCTAACCTTTACCAGCAATAGTTGACCTTATTCATAATGACTTTCTGTGTGCGCATGTTGCTTTGGCTGAGTTTGCTTCTGTGCTGCATAGTAACAAAAAAAGAGCCTTGGAGGTAAAATTGAAGTGTACATTTAATTACAAGAAGGTGAAACCCAAAAGGAACCCTGAAAGAATGCATACATGAATGGCATCCTTCCATCCCATGTACATATCCAAGACCTACTCTTTTGTTAGATTTCACAAATTCAAAGCTCTCTTCAGCGCTTCATTCTGTGCCTTTCTTGACCATTTTTTACCTGACCTGTCATTTACTCTTGGTACGATTCTCCTCTAAACAGTTTATCAAAGGTGTACCTTGAACGTGACCAAACCAATTTAAACAGTTTATAGAACCTTCTCCTGAACCACAAGGGTGGTGTCTGATTGGTTTGAGCTTGGGCTCCAAAGGTCAAAAGTGCTAGGAGGTCCCAGGTTCAAATCCAAGGAGGAATAAAAATCCCCTTGTGGCCACGGAGGTTTAAATGCAGTGACTCTGGCTACCCGCAAAGCAAGTGGTCGGCCTGGGATTAGTCGGCTCGCATAGCGGGTTGGATATCCATGTTAATAAAAAAGCCCTTCTCCTGTACATTGCTTGACCTTTCCTTTATTTTATGATCACATATCGATCTCAGCATTCACATTTTTATTACACTCATCTTGTGTATGTGTTGTCTTTTGGTGGTTTATAAAAATAGTAGGTCTCACCCCGTAAACTCCAATCTTGTCTTGCTACTTAATTTTTATGGTGACTCTCCAATCATATAAGACTTTTGAAGCTTTTACCCATTTCATCCACCCCACTTCAATTTTTGGTTTATCATTTAGCACGATATTGTATTTATGTTGCCTTCAGTGTATGTGTTGTTCATGCATGATGGGCAAGAGCTATTCTCATGTGTATATCCGTATATGATCACATCTTTGTACTACCAATATGAAGTACATAGGTATTATGCATTAAGTTTTATGAGTTGAAAGAGATTTTTTTGGATGTCTGGAATTTACAGAAGATGATATTCTATTTTCATCCATTTTACTTTTTGAACATATGTGGTGCTTTCTTCTGCAGCTTGAGAAGGCGCTGCATGAATGTGATGAAGAGAATAAACAAATTAAACTTAGATCTCAGACTAATTTGGCTGATGCAAACACACTAGTAGCTGGTATTGCGGATAAATCTAGAGAGGTGGAAGAAAAGATGCATGAAGCTGATGCAAGGCTTGCTGAGGTAAACAGAAAGAGTTTGGAGTTAGACAGGAGAGTGCAAGAGCTAGAGACCCGTGAAAGTGTGTTCCGGATTGAACGCCAATCCTTTATTGCAGGGTATGATATTGTGCTAAGGTTATTATGACAATCTGAATGAATAGCATCATTTTCTAGATCTTTCTGATGTGATCACTTCACCTTATTTGTAGGCGAGAAGCATGGGAAGATACATCTTCCAAACATAAAGAGGATCTGCAGGAATGGGAAAGGAAATTGCAAGAGGGTGAACAGAGGCTATGTGAAGGTCGTAGAATTATTAATGCGAGGGAGGAAAAGGTCAATGGAATTGAGAGATCTCTTAAAGAGAAGGAGAAGGAACTTGAGGGGGTGCATAATAAGATTGAGTTGAGCATTTTGGCATCGAAGAAGACAGAGGATGATGCAAAGAGAAGATTACTGAGCTTAATTGTGAAGGAGGAAGTATGTTTCTGACCTTTCTTTCATGTTAAATGTTTTATCAGAACGTCAATGATTTTAATTTTTTTCCTCATTGGGTTGCAGCAAGCTGAGTCAATTAGAAAGAACCTTGAGATTAAAGAAAAGGAACTGCTTGATTTGACCGAGAAGCTGACTGCAAAAGAAAGAGTGAGTTCATACTTAATTGTCTGTGTGCATGTGCTTCTGACCACCATTGCATAGATGTATGAGAAGTTTTGGCATTGTCTGTTGCAAGTAGATACTGACATTGGTACACTGTACATGGCTACCCTGTGAGATGATCTTAAAACCTTGGTGCCTAACTATTAGGTTCACTCTTCTGTTTGATTTTCAACACTTCATATTAGAATATGCTAGATGTCAAGTAATCATGTTTTTTTTGGGAGAAGGGGATGGAACCCCCGGAAAACCTTTATTGAGTCAGTAATCATGTTTGTTTTGCTGCAGGTGGAGATTCAGAAGCTTATTGATGCTCATAAAGATGCTCTGGATTCTAAACAGCGGGATTTTGACTTGGAAATGGAAGAAAAGAGGAAATCTATCGAGGACGATATGAGAAGCAAGGTAGAAGCCATTGAGCAGAAAGAAGCTGAGATAAATCATAAGGAGGAAAAAGTGAAAAAGCAAGAGCAAGCTCTTGAAAAGAAGTCGGAGAGATTAAATGAGAAAGAGAGAGAGCTTGACATGATGCTGAGGGAACTGAGAGAGAAGGAAAAATCTAATAAAGCGGAGACCAAAAAAATGGAGATGGACAAGAAACAGGTACTTGCTGATAAAGAGAGTCTGGAAATTCTGAAAGTACATACTGAAAAAGTTAGGGATGAGATCACTCAAAAGGAGGTACAAATTCGTGAAGAGATTGAAAAACTCAGAATTACTGAAGATGAAAGAACAGCATTTGCTCGTTTGCAGTTAGAGCTGAAAGAAGAGTTAGAAAAATGCAGACATCAGAAAGAGTTGATTATGAAGGAGGTTGATGATTTGAGGAAGGATAGAATGAAGTTCGAGGGGGAGTGGGAGGCATTGGATGAAAAGAGATCTGCAATCACTAAAGAATTAAGGGAGTTTGGCGAACAGAAAGAGGCTTTGGAAAAACTACGGCAATCTGAAGAAGAGAAATTGGAAATGGAGAAACTTGCTACAAAAGATTACATTAGAAGGGAGTTGGAAGCTGTCAAATTGGAGAGAGAGACGTTTGCTGCTACAATGAAGCATGAGCAATCCCTTCTAACTGAGAGAGCTGAAAACGAGCACAGACAATTACTTCATGATTTTGAACAAAGAAAAAGAGATCTTGAGGTGGATCTTCAGAATAGGCGAATGGAAATGGAGAAAAATATGCAGGAGAGAGAGAAAGCATTTGAGGAGGAGCGAGAAAAAGAACTTACTAATATTAGTTACTTAAAGGAGGTTGTAAGAAAGGACATGGAAGAAGTGAAATCTGAAAGACGTAGAATAGATGGAGAGAAAAAGGAGATTGCTGAGAACAATCAGCGGTTAGAAGAAAACCAACTTGAGATGCACAAGGACATCGATGAGCTTGGTGTTCTTAGCAAGAAGATAAAGGATCAAAGGGAAGAATTTATCAATGAGAGAAATCGTTTTCTTGCATTTGTTGAGAGGCTTAAGAATTGTGGGGATTGTGGGGAGATCACCAGGAGTTACCAACTCTCTGATCTGCAGCTGGTTGAGATTGGTGATGATTCTCCTCTTCCAAAGACGCGATATGATATTAGTGGAAGGTCCGAGGGCATTCTTGCTGCTTCCAATGAAGCTACTGCTCCAAACAATTTAAGATCTCCTAGTAATGGGGGTCTTGTTTCTTGGCTCAAGAAAAGTGTGACGGTGTTTAAGTTGTCCCCTCACCGAACGACGGAGCATGAAAATGATGAAATCTTAGAACAACCTCTACCTGCGGAAGTGATCGTAGATAGAGAAGTCGAACACTCAAGCATGCCAGCTGATACTGGGGGCGGTGACAGGGATCAACAGGAACCCCTTGGGATTGGATACGATTCACGCTATGCTGAACTTCCTACACATGATGTGAAGAGGGAGGTAGATCATAGGCTGCCTTTAGCTTCTGATGATCAGAGCTACAGGGTAAGCCAGACACCTGAAGCTCCAGAAGCATCTCAGCAATCAGAGATGAGAAGTGGCAGGTCGAAACCTGTGAGAAAACCCAAAGTTGGAGCTGGGAAAAACCGCACTGTCCGGGCGGTGGCTGAAGAGGTCTCGTTCGAGGTGAACACTTCAAAAGAGGTTAATGAGGATAGTCCCAGAACTTCTAGCTATGCTGGAAAAAGAGGTGGTCCCACTGCCAGGAAACGGTCCCATGCCCAAACCTCTTTAGTCATTGGAAGTGAGATGGATGCTGCTGATAGTGAAGTTCAGTCTGAAAGTGTAACAACAGGTGGACGCAGGAAGAGGCGGCAAACAGTTGCTCCCGCAGCACAAACTCCTGGAGAAAGACGATATAATCTCAGACGACACAAGACGTAAGTTTTAAGCTTTTTATGTATGCTAGGTTTTCTGGCGAATAGCAAGTAGTCTTGTGATCCACATACATTTGATAACTGTGCGACGAGTGTCGGTTGTCCTTCCTTAACTAAAGAAATTACGAGTCAATGTGAGAAGTTCATGAAGGGGAAAAAATGTAAAGCATAATTTTTATGTTAATTTTAAATTTCAGTCTGTGGAGTAGCAATTAATGCTATATCTTTTTTTTTTTCAACGGGCTCAAATTGTAAAATACTCATTGATATGAAAATCGTAATCACATAAATCGTAGCAGCCATGCCACTTGAACGGAAGGGCATAACTTGAGTACTTGTGTTACTGTACCATTTCTTCTCTTTTCTCATCCTGCTTCCTTTGTAATTTTGCTTCTTCTTTATATTTGATCCTTCTGTTTCTGCAGTCCTTGATTAGAATGTCCACATGTCGAGATTGGTGTATATTTAGATTTATTGCTTTGCAGTAGAAGATGCCATTTTGTTTAATTTAAGAGCAAATCCATGAACCACCAAAATTACCACAAAATTCACAATTCTATAAAAGATAAACTGGTGATTCTATTGTTACCTGTGGTGGCTGCCATAGACTTGCACTTATGTGTTAGTATGTCCTTTGATTGATTGCCGTGCTGTTCCTTGAATATGTCCTCATATGCATATATATCATATATGCTCCCTCCGTCTACAAAGATTGCAACGTTCGACAAAACTAATTTATTTGGGTAGTGTTCATTAGTCATGGTCTCGAGTACCTTTCAGTGATCACAAAACTAGGGGAGCTCATGGCTGCAAATCATATTCACTGTAACTATGAAAATGAGTATCTAGTAATTGGTTTGAGAAGTTACAAAAAAACCGGATGTTGCAATTTTGATGTGATACCTCAAAATTGCAGTTTTATGGGACAGAGGGAGTACTATATATACGTTAGATGTGCGGTATTTTTATTTTATTTTTTGCGTATCTTTTGCTATATATTGGATTCTGTAGAACCTCAAGTATTATGCTCGACTTTGTGAGTGTGTGCATTTCCAAATTATCTTAATATGATTCGAACACTGAAGCGTAAATGCGCTAATACTTCCATATTAACAATATGCTCAAGTTGTATTTTTTTCCTCAACACTTGCAATTTTTTTGTTTATACCCTATATTGGTTTGTCTTTCAATTGTATAAAAGCTATTGATATATACAAGTTTGTGGAATATATGTCTTCTTTATAAAGTGTTCTAGATATGGATCTAAATATTCCCTTCTTCCCCCAGAAAGTGTCTATTTTTGGCTTTTGACTTTAATGTCTATTTTTCTAACTTCAAAACTGGTAGCAATTGCTTTGGTTGTGGAGAAATTTTTTTGGCACCGCATTAATCTATAACAAATGTATTTCCAAATAGAAACATTTTGGGTGGAGAGAATTGACTGATTTGAAAGCATCAAGTTTGAGTTTCCAAAATTGAAAGTGGAATCTAATTCCATACTATATACTAGTAGAGTATTCTATTTTGCATGTCAAATATGTGTTTTATGGTGACCGATAACTTACATTTTTTGCATCTAATATGATTAGTGGAGACGTTGCCCCTCAACCTCAAGCTTCTGGTGATAATAGAAAAAAGAAGGGAGTTTCTGCAACTAGTAGTAAAAATGAAGTAACACAAAAGCGTGAAACGGCTTCTGCTCTGGGTACAGAAGTTGCTAGCGAGGATGGCAGCACGGCTATGGTGCATGTCACAACTAGCAAAAGAGTTGACACTGAGATATTAGATACAGCTGTAAGTGTATATAATTATCGTTTTCCACCTTTTCAAATAATTTCACGTGGTCTGATATGCTTAATATTTGCATTTGTTATCTTTCAGTTTAAAACACCAGGGGATATCGTTGGTAGCAGTGGTGCTGTGAAATTTGTTGAAAACACAGAAATAATTGAGGAGGTTAATGTTACCCATGAGGGCAGCAATCTAGATGAGAGCCAGAACTTATATAATAATGAAGATGATGGTCAGGATGATGACGACGACGACGACGATGATGATAATGATGGATCAGATCAACATCCTGGTGAAGCGTCCATTGGCAAGAAAATATGGACTTTCTTGTCAACGTAATCAGCGTATCTTTTCTTTCCAAGTTTTGTGTAGTCCTTTTTCGTGCTATTGTTTTCAACAAGCCATGGCACTTTTCTAGGTTTTAAGAGTTACCCTCATTTTAGATGGGAAAAAATATTCATTTCATATCATGTAGGCTAGTATGTTGTGTAGCTTCTGCTCAAAACTTTTTTTTCTAGTCTCAAAACAGTGTCCATTTTGGTGCAATCAATGTTATATACATGATTGATTTTTTGCTGCATGTTCTTGAAAATGACTTGTAGTATTAGGTGAGTTTCCTTTATTGTGAGATTTTGGTTTACATTTATCGTTGAATATTGGTTCTTGCTTCTAGACAAAGAATCGTGTGAGAATAGGAGTTAAGGTGAGAAGTGTAAGATGGCATCTGGACCCTTGGATCATTTTCAATCTCATCCCATCTCATGAATTGCGTTTCTCACGGTAATTGATCTGTTGCATCTCGGGACATCTCATCACTGTCGATCTTCAATCAAGATTGATACAAGGATGGAGATCCCTTCTTACCATTTTCGTCATAACTTTCATTCTCATCGGAACCTACCCCTTGCTTCTATATATATATATATATATATATATATATATACACACACACACATGCACTTTTAACTGCTGCTCCTGCTTGTTTAGTTGTAAAGGTTTTGCAGTTCATAGTGATGGAGTGTTGAAGATGAGCAGATTGTATGGTCTACTCCTGCACTTGCTCACTAACAGGTAAACATTACTTTTCGTGCCATATGCGCTTAGACTTTACTTTTTTCCCTTTTTTATTCCCCATATCTTACCATTTTGTCGGAGTTGTCCACTCATCGTACAATATTTGTCTACCGCATGAACTTTTTTTTTTCTGTCTAGGGACTTTTCCCGTAGGTTGTTAGTTCTAGTCTTGTTGGGGCCATTGGATCTTCCATTCTGTTATTTTCAGTGTTCTCAAGCCTCCTGGTGATTTTCTTGGTTGTTATCTTTACGGTCAATTTTCAGTGACTTTTATCTTCAATGTCCTCGGGGGAAAAAACAATGTTTGATCATTTATTTAAGAGTAAACTGTGTTTTTGGTTCTTGTGATTTGTTGAAAATTGTTATTTTCATTCCATGTTTTTGTCCCTTAAAGACATACCTAACAGGGTAAAGCACTGGCGACTTAATCTGGAAGGAAGACGAAAACAGGGGATGAAAACCTTAATTTTGAAAGTAGAGGGATAAAAATTGCAATTTATCAAATCACAAGGACTAAAAACGTAGGTTACCCTTTAATCAATAATGAAAATAAGCATTGATGAGATGGACGTTAAAAAAATTGAAATAGATATGGATACCAAGAAATGTTAGATATATTTTAAAATAATTTTTTTTTTAAATGGAAAAATAAAATAGAAATGAATGATGAAAGTTGATAGGGTGAAGACCAAAGGAGTAACAGAAGGGTGACAGAAACTGTTGAGAAAAAGACCTGAGCATCATCTCCTTTTTAATTTATTACGTCTTAATATTATCGATTTTTATTTTCATATATATTTTTCATCCACATTTAAAATGAACAAAACCTTAGTTTATATAACGAAACAAATGCAATTTATAATACAAATTAATAACAGCAATTTAAATAGATTTTTGGGGTTTCACAAATTTCACGAAATGTATCCAAAATTGAGAAAGAAAAGAGTATAATTTTTTAAGGACATATTTGACAAACTAGTTTTTAGTTGATAAGTTTAGTTACCTGATAAATTAATTAACGTATTTTTTTTCCATTAAAATGGGAATTTAGTACTAATAAATAAATGTTTAAAATTTGATTATCTATATTATATTATAAAATATTTGATAAAAACTTTTGAAAAATCATTTTTTATGCATGAAGTACTGTTTATTGATGTATATTACTTAAAATTCAAGATTACAAATAAATTCTGCATAAGTACAATTTATTAAACACCTATTTTTGAGTCCGTATGACTTACTACAACTAAACATAATCATATACAGAATAAACATCTAAATTTTAAATATAAAAAAATCTAAAATACAATTAGTATAATTATTGAGTTCAATAAAATATTTAATTATTATATTTATATAAAAATTATATTATTAAACCGAAAATAAATTGTTTCATTATTAAGCTTAAATTAAATTATAATAAAAATTGAATTAAAGAAATTACACAAAAAACGAGTTAATTTGATATTAATATCGATATATATTTTTCAAAATCTTAAGTATAATATCTTAAAATTTATATTTTATTAAAAAATAAAAAAATTATCATTTTTCAAAATCACATAAAACTGAATTATATCAACGGAGATGAAATAAAACAAAATAATAAAATCAAGATATAATATCATAATCACAAATTTAAAATCTCTAAACTCCTAAAAGTGTGTGAAACTAAATGCAATATCATGTGAGATTTGACTTTTATTTTCCATTAAAAAAAAAACGTGATAACAAATCCATTTAATGAAAAGTGTCACTATTTTATTATTTTGTGTATGAGAAAGATATAAAAAATGGAAAAGTTTAGAAGAAGGTGGGATCTATCCCGATGCTCCTAAACTTTTTCAATATAATTAAGTAAAAAAATATTCAATATTAGATTCATATCGAATGTTTTGATGAGACAATTAAAATGTTGTAACATGTTAAAATTAAAATGTATTTTAGTTAATATACGATTATGTATGTTAATATGATAAGAGTGTAAAATTATAAATGAAAAAGCAAAGAATATAACATAAAAATAAATAATTAAGTACAATGGTATAATGTGTAAGTATTAAATATTTTTTCGATATTAATATAATTAAATAAAAAAATATTCAATATTAGATTCATTTCAGGTATTGACGAACCGATTATAATGGTGTAACTTGTTAAAATTAAAACGTATTTTAGTTAATATACAAAAATGTATGTTAATGTGATAAGTGGGTAAAATGAAAAAAATGAAAAAGCAAGGGTCGTACCATAAATTAAATAATTAACTACACGGGTATAAAGTATAAGTATTAAAAATATTTTTTCTTAATAAAATATTGGGCTCATTTCGAAAGTATTGACGAGACAAATATAATAGTGTAACTTGTTAAAATTAAAACGTATTTTTTAATGTATTTTAGTTAACTAGAAGAGTACTCGCGCAATGCAGCGAGATACATCGTGTTTTTAATATTTCATTTTATTCTTTATCTCAGTTGATGTTATAATATGACTTT